TCTTCTCCAATGGTTCACATCGTATCTACATGACCGCCAACAGCGCGTCACAACTCTTGGCGCTACTTCTTCCAAAAAACCAGTGTGCTGCGGTGTTCCGCAAGGCAGTATCTTAGGACCAATACTCTTCCTCCTGTATGTGAATGATTTACCAGACGCTGTGACGAACTCGACAGTTGCGTGTTTTGCAGACGACACCAAAATCTTCCGTAGAATTGACTCCATCACCGATGCTATGTTACTCCAGGATGACATCAATAACCTTCAATCCTGGTCCACGTCAAGCGGTCTCGTGTTTAACGAAGGAAAATGCAAAAGTATTAGCATTACCAGACGTAGTCAACCAATCCATCATCTATATAGCATCAAAGGCAAAGAACTTGCACTTATACCAGCAGAGAACGATCTGGGAATTTGGATTGCGAGCGATCTAACCTGGTCTAAACACATTTTAGACCGGTGTACCCGTGCCAACAAACTCCTTGGATTTATAAAGCGATGTTCTGGGGAAATAAGCGACGCGAGGACCCGCCGGACTCTGTATCTGTCTTTGGTTTGGTCGGTTTTTGGTTACTCGAGCCAGGTTTGGTCGCCTCAAACCGTGACCCTCATCCAACGTATGGAACGGGTCCAAAGAAGAGCAACGAAGTACATTTTAAACCTTCCGTACTTTTGCAGTGAGACTTATCGGGAACGACTTGCCAGTTTGGGTCTCTTACCGTTATCTTACTGGCACGAATATTTGGATCTCGTGTTCTCTTTTAAAGCGGTGAATGGCTTGGTCGACGTGTCCCATGACGTCCTCCCTGAAGTCATGTCCCAAACCAGAACGACCAGATCCTCCAGTGGCAACCAAATCTCCTTCCGTCCGGCCAAATGCAAAACCTCTACCTACCGACGCTCCTTCTTTATTCGTGCATCCAGAACTTGGAACTCTTTACCAACTACACTAAGATCTCCTGACATTAATATTAGGCAATTCAAAACCGATTTACAAACTTACTACCTGACAGCCCTGAGAGAATGCTTCGACGAAGAAGATCCGAGGACATGGAAGACTATTTGTCTGAAGTGTAACACTAGTCATTACTTACGTTCTGAACTAACTTGTTGTTTTTAGCCTCCTGTCCATGTACTGTATGTTATATATTCTGTACTGTATGTGTATTTTTGTATAGGGTCCACAGTAATTGGTTTACACTGTTGTGGTGTCCCTGCCATTTTTGTCCATGTTTATTGTGTAGATGTCTATTTGCTGTTCTGTTAAGTGTTTTTGGCAAAGTTTAATAAATAAATAAATAAATTTTCACTCTCTGTCAAAGACCTCTAAACCAGGAGATTCACCAAAAACTAGTTTTCGTGCAGCATTTAGGGAAGATAAGGATTTATATCCCGTGGAATGTTTAAAGTTTTATGAAATTAAAACTAGAGAATTTCGATCTGTTGATGAGCATAACAAACTGTTTTTGTCCTACATTCTTCCTCATAATCCTGTATCTTCATCAACTTTAGCTAGATGGATAAAGTTGTTGTTGCAATTAGCAGGCATAGATACATCTATTTTTACTGTCCACTCATTAAGAGGAGCTGCTACAACAGAGGCATTAAATCAGGGTGTTTCAATCACAGATATTTTGGGGATGGCAGATTGGTCTCAGGAGAGTACTTTTGCACGATTTTATTATAAGCCTCGATTTGATGTCTCACCTGGTAATGCAGTGTTATCAGCTTACCATTCTAGGCCGTTGGATGAGGGTCGAAAATGTTCAATTCCGTAGCACCCCTCATGTAACTACATAATTTTTACATGAATGGATAGATTAGAACTTACTTAGAATCCACTTCCCCCCAAGCGAAATAGTTGCACAAATTGAAGTACAACCTCTCCAAAGTTCATGCTTTGTTGTATTTCGAAATCCATGAACCGCCATTGTTGAGTTGTAAATACGCATGCGCTTGACCACAAAACACTTAATGCGCACGCGCAGATAAAAACTGATCTCAATCCACAACTGGAGAAACCTGGAGAAGAAAAAAATTATGAAATGTGCGAAAGAAGGGCTGAACTGAAACAAGATGACATCGGAGTGTTTTAAAAATATATGATATTTTTATGTTTTGTGCATTTTAATGTTTTTTTCCAAACATTCTGAGTAATTTACCGTGTCGAGCCCTGGCCAGGAACACTTCCAAGCCAACATTACAATAACTTATTCAAAATATGTTATTTTATACTACAGCAATTGCACATGACGTTCGCAAGCGAATCTGTTTTTCAGGCTTCATATAGTATCATAAACATTCCGGGCCGAACACAGCGGGGAGATAGGGCACAACTGCCCCCCCCCCACCTAGAGAAAACTATATTTACGACTTTTAGAATGTCATATTAATTATTCTTCGAATATTTGGGACTTTTTTCGGCATATAGGCCATACTTCCCCCTGGTGGAAAAAATTCTGCGTACGGCTCTGTAAACATCTAGAACACGCATATCGTTATCAATTTTTAGGGCGGGGGGGTATTTATGGTTTGCACGTTTTATTTCTTTAAATATGCAACATTGGGTACTGTGCTTTCATTAAAATATCATAATTATCTTTCAAATACAATACTTTCATGCTTCACGATTTTATACATTAATCTCACTCAATTAAATTTAAATATGTTGCCCAACAGCATTAAGACGAAAATCGGAACAAGACCAACAAATTACCTCACTCAGACTGAGTAATTTGCTCTTTATCAAAACATCACTGCTCTCCAAAATGTCTTCAGTGAAACCGTCATCAATACTCTGACTCGATCCAAAAGTTACCCACCATGATCATCACCATCATCACTGAGTGGTTATATTACTACCTGAAACAAACAAGCAGAAACTCGACGTTTCGAGCAAAGGCCCTTCGTCAAGAGTTAGTAGCCTTCGCTCGAAACGTCGAGTTTCTGCTCGTTTATTTCAGGTAGTAATATAACCACTCAGCACAGAAATTTCACATTGGTACTACCACTCTGATACAGACTGTTTCTGTTTTCCATCGCCTTTGATCTTCAAATAATTAGGGTAAATATGTTATCTAATTAACAACATGAACTCGCAAATCGGAACAAAGGCCAACAGATGATTAACACGATGTGGGTATATAGGTTTCTCGCTCAACCTGAACTCGGAATCTTCTTTCACTCTTTCAGCTGGTTGAAAGAAAGGTTTTACTTACACTGTGTTATTCCTACAACCTCGATCTACACTGGACCCCCACCTTGTTCAAGTTATTACAACAGGTGTTTACCTGATTTTATCAAACCATCACTGCTCTTCGAAAATTTTAGCAGCAATATGTCATATAAAACTTCTCTGAGTTCAAATTTAGAGAAATCTTTTTACCCACATCGTGTTAATCATCTGTTAGCCTTTGTTGCGATTTGTGACTATATGTTGTTAGATTACATATTTACCCTGATTGTTTGAAGATCAATGGCAATGGAAAACAGATGATGATGGACAACTTTTGGAGTCAGAGCGGATGACGGCACGATGACGGTTTCGCTGAAAACATTTTTACAAGCGTAGCCAGGTTGTGGGTCGGGGTCCCGCCTCCCTGGTAAAATTTTGGCGCTACCTGAGAAAATTTATTCTATAAAAAGAAGTGAAACATGGCCCCATCTAGGTTTTTGCTGCCCCCCTCACCAAAAATCCTGACTATGCTTCTGGACATTTTGGAGAGAAGTGATGTTTTGACTAAGAGCAAATTACTCAGTCTGAGTTGGGTGATCTGTTGGTCTTGTTCCGATTTGCGTCTTAATGCTGTTGGATGACATATTTAAATTTACTTGAGTGAGAATGGACAGTGTGTTGCGGAAAAAAACAGTATGTAACCACTCACTGAAAAACTCTGATAGGGAGTGTGCTGTGCATTATCTGTATCTGTATCTGTAAAAGCTGTTAATGCTAATTAGATAAGACGGGAACTCCCTTTCTCTTGGTATGTGCGCGTCCGTATGCGCAAGTTATTAGGGAGTTTAAGCTTCACATTTGCGGGAACAGCAAGACAGACTTTTCTTGGCATAATGTTCGTTCGATTTCTGCGTGTCATATTTTCTTCCATATGGCACAAGAATAGTTAAGCATTCTAGTTATAAAACAACAAGCCCATATACTTTTTATTGCTTTATAGCGTAAATTTTTTCTTTGCCTGACATTTGTCGCTGAATGCGAAGCTTAAGCTCTCTAATATAATTAGATTGCAAACGTCATGCAATGCTGTTGCATAATATTGAATACCTCCTACAACCTACTAAGCTGTTTCCTTCTTTGTTTTTTGATGAACTGAGAATTTTTTATGGCACAAATATATTGGATTGGCAAAAAGGCCTTCGTGATAAAGAAGTGCATGATCAACAACATAACACGACTGTTTGAACACGAAATTGGTTGATACAAAAACCGAGTGTGTAATGAAGTTCCAGTCAGCTTAGAGTTAACCTCGGTTCTTTCTCATTAATGGACTAGATGCAAAGGAAATAATAAACAACGACCCTGGGCTAATAAAATTGACAGGAAAAGATCTAGAAAATAAATAAGATTGTGAACACCAAGTAAAACTCATATTTAGCAACAACCCCCCCTCCCCCTATTCCCCACACCTTTCTCCTGTAACCAATTAATTAATGTATAAAATCGTGAAGCATGAAAGTATTGTATTTGAAAGATAATTAATTAATTATGATATTTTACTGATATTTACAGTACCCGATGTTGCATATTTAAAGAGAATCAAATTTGCAAACAGACTCTTTGTACATATTAGAATTACCCCCCTCCCCCTCCCCCTATTAAAATGATAGAGAAATTACGGTATGCGTGGTCTAGAATGTTTAGGATTATAATAATATTTAAAGCCTGAAAACAAATTCGCTTGCAAACGTCATGCAATTGCTGTAGTATAAAATAAGTTAAATAACAAAAAAAATTGAATAAGTTGTTATTGTAATGTTGGCTTGGAAGTGTTCCTGGCCAGGGCTCGACACGGTAAATTGCTCAGAATGTTGGAAAAAACCATTAAAATGCACAAAACATAAAAATGTCATATATTTTTAAAACACTCCGACGTCATCTTGTTTCAGTTCAGCCCTTCTTTCGCACATTTCACAATTTTTTTCTTGTCCAGGTTTCTCCAGTTGTGGATTGAGATCAGTTTTTGTTACTGCGCGTGCGCATTAAGTGTTTTGTGGTCAAGCGCATGCGTATTTACAACACAACAATTGGCGGTTCATGGATTTCGAAATACGACGAAGCATGAACTTTGGAGTGGTTGTACTTCAATTTGTGCAACTATTTCGCTTGGGGGGAAGTGGATTCTAACTAAGTAAGTTCTAATCTATCTATTCATGTAAAAATTATGTAGTTACACGAGGGGTGCTACGGAATCTGTTTTCTAAGCATATTTTCGACCCTCATCTCACGGCCTATTCTTGATATTTACATTTTA